CTTTAGGGACCCCCGTGTGAAAACGTCCCAAGAGAAAGCCTTTCACGGAAGATCTTAAGGCAGGTTCATATGGGGGAGATATGGTCTCTCATAAGTGGCAGCACAGGATAGTGCTGTCAAACTGAAAACTGGAGAGGACTCCTGTACCTTGTAGTTTTGGTATGGAAAAGGGAGTTTCAGCAAGTGTTTCTTGCCAGGCAACCAGGTAACAAGCAACACCTGCCAAAATTCCCTCTTCTACACAACCATTAAAAGTACAGGAGCTCTCTCCAGGGTCTAATCTGCACTGTAAAAATAATGTAGTTTTGTGAGACATTTAGCCTTCTCTGCCAGAGAGCTCTGGTGCCACAACAAATTCCAAATCCCAGGCTTCCATAGCATTGAACAGTTAAAGCGGCATCAGACTTTACAATAGTTCTTTTTAAAGTGGCAGTTAAAGCGGCGTCAGACTGCATTATTTCTGCATATATAGTATATCCTGATTCCACCCTACCAACCCTAGCTAAGGATGATGAAATGGTTTCCTGAAAGATGTGGCACTTCTGTGTATGTATCTTTATGCGGCTTCAAGCCTGTTTTTGCAGACCGCCAGTATGACCATCACCACCACTACCACCCTTGTTCAGAAACCATCCTGGCAAAAATCCAGTGACACATCCTGCCACTGGATTTCAGTAGCAAATTGCCAAACACCATTGAAAGAAGCAGGATATGGCTGCTTTTAAGATGTTTGAGCTTTGCTGACAAAATGCAGTAGCTAAGGGGGAAACCATAGCATAGTACAATAAACATTTCCTGCTCTTCTCCCCCCTTCAAGCCATGATTTTTCCAGTTTGCTGCTGAAATTCAGCAGCTCCATTTGCATCCAAATGTCAGTGGCAAGCCAACAGGGATGGTGGCAGTGGCAATGGCTGCAGAATTGGTCCCTTGGCCCAAAATTACCCAGTCCTGGTTTGTGCTGAATGATAAGCCTATCAGAAGTTGGAGAAGATGACACCAAACTTCCACTCTGCTAGATATACAGGGAATGTGTATGTTAGCACAGACATAGAATCATAGAATCATAGAATCATAGAATCATAGAGTTGGAAGAGACCACAAGGGCCACTACTCTCCGAGGGAGCGTGTGCTCGCATGTGAGGAAACAACTGTTCACCTTGATCTGTTCCAAGACACAGGCAGTTAATGAGCTGGTTGGGGACATCTTGAAGGCAGAGACCTCCTCTCTGGGAACCTACCGGTAATGTGGATTAGTGGATCTTAAAGGATCACCTCTTTGCCTCTACAATACTTGCATTCTGTTTTTATATCTATGAATTCAATAAATCACACAAAACCACCAAGAGTTTCCAGCTGATGCTCCTCCAAAGGAAAACAAACCCAACAGGCATGGACTCTGGAGCTTCTCTACACTCAGGGAAGCAGAGGAGAGAAAGAAGCAAGCTGTACTGTTCTTGCCATGCACATATTTTCCCTATTATCATAAAGATGGGTGCTGTCTCCCATTGCTCCTCTTGTGCTCTTGCTTTATGTACATATCAGCTATAAACAGAATCTTCAGTGGCAAATTTGATGGCATTTCAACAGACACAGCAGGGATTGGCACCATGTGGTCCTCCATCTGTTTTGGTGGGCTACATTTCCTGCACCCACCCTGCAAAACACAGTACTAAATTTCAGGAGGAAATAGGGGGAAACTAATTAGCACAAGAATAAAATGCTAATCCCCCTGGCTTATCACCAACATTTGGCTGCAGGGTAGATGTGGGGAGCAGCCTATTTCATCTAGGGGGCACAGAGGAATTGGCCCCTGGACCCAGCTAATCTTCCCATCTAAATGTACAATGTTTGTTCCACTACAGTCAGGTTTATTGTATAGGTTTAGTGCAATGGTTAAGACTTAGGCTGCATCTGCACTGTAGAATTAATGCAGTTTAACACCACTTTACCTGCCATGACTCAATGCTATGGAATTCTTGGATTTGTAATTTTGTGAGATATTTAGCCTTCCCAGCCAGAGAGTTCTGGTGCCTCAACAAACTACAAATCCCAGAATTCCATAGCACTGGGCCATGGCAGTTGAAGTGTTGTCAGACTGTATTATTTCTGCAGTGCTGATGCAGACTAGAACTGGAAGACCAAGATTAAATTCCCCACTCATCTTCTCAGAGGATTGTTGTGAAGAAATAAATGAAGTGGCAGATTTATGCCATCTTAAATCTCTTGGAAGAAGAGCAAGATAGAAATGTAAACAATAAACGAACTAACTAAGAATAACACTTCACACATCTGGCTGACTCAAGGGTCCAAACTTGTTGCTTCAATAAATGTGTTAGTCTAGGAGTCAGTGTGGTGTAGTGGTTTGAGCACTGGACTATAACTCTGAAGACCAGGGTTCTAATCCCTGCTCAGCCATGGAAACCCACTGGGCAACACTGGCCATGTCATACTCTCTCAGCCTCAGAGGCAAAGCCAAGCCCACTCTGAACAGAAAACCAAAACTCTGCCAAGAAAACCCTTAGGGCTGCCATAAATCAGAATCGACCTGAAGGCACACAACAACAACAAAGATTAAGGTAAATATGGGACTGCTGCTTCCTTTAGAACAAACTTAAAAGTTAGTCCTCTGATAATATTTGTGTTTGTTTTTATTATTTCTTCTTTTTTTATGAAGAGTCCAGGAAGGAGAGATGCCAAGGGGACAAAAACTGGTATCTTTTAAGACTTCTGGGGAAGTGGGAAAATATTTTAGACAGTTTATAAAGCTAAGAGGAGAAGAGAAACAATGAGCATCTGGAGATAACTGTGTTTCCACACTACGAGGTCTGACATTGTAACAGGCAAGATTACTCTTTGGGTCTTAAAGAAAGCCTCTGAATAATCTTGGGATTTATCACGGGGCTGTAACCTGAAGATGTCAGGTTTTACTAATTCCCCCCCGTTTTATTTCCAGTTAGTCTGACCAGAAAGCCTACTGGAATGCCAGAGGCTATCCATGACACACACAATTTTTGGTTTACTCCAAGTCTGAAACACAACATCCCATCATGGATAACACATGTTGCTCATTAAATGCTGGTAATTTCCTGAAAGTACAAGGAAAGTCCCTTTCATCATCTAGGAAAAACAAGCAGCTGGAAGATAAAAGGGCCTCTGCCCATCCTGGGAAAACAAGAAGGGATTCTTGCATTTAAAGTTCTCTGAATAATGGTTACCAAAACCCAACCCCACCCCTTGCAAAGAAAAGAAAACGCTTCTGTACCACACACATAGCCTAATAATAATAATAATAATAATAATAAAATGTATTTATACCCCGCCCAATGGTAATCCAATCTGGGCGGCTTACAGATTAAAACACTCAGTACGACATAAAATCACAAGAAACAATGTATGCAATATACCCCCCTTCCCCCCTTAAAATAATATTAAATCAATGATAATTAAAACAACACAGTTTAAAAACCCAATACAAATAACTTATAAA